CGAGAGACGCCCAAGAGGGCCCTAAGAGGGGCCCAGGGGGCTCCCGCGTCGACTCCGAGACAGGCGCAATTCCTTGGCTCTGGCTCCTGGGGTCTCGATGTCCAGGAATGGCGGCTGCGTCGGGTTTGCTTGACAAGCGTCGCGCGCGCGGCAGCGCCCGCTGGCCGCCCTAAGGTTATCGGAGGCGAGGGCGCTTGACGCGAAGAGCGGCCAGTGGGTCGTGGTCCCTCACGTCAAGGTGTTCGCAGCAGGGTTCAGTTGCGTTACCGCCTCTAACCTCAATTCTTCTACGCGGGGGAACAAGTGCCCGAACCCGTGTCAGAGCGGGGAGGGCACCACTGGCGAGGCCCGCTCTCGTCTTCCTCGCCCTTTTCGTGCTCCTCGTCCTCCTCGCCCTTCTCGCCCACCCCCTCTTCGCCCCCCCCGGCCCTCCCGCTTGGGCGCGAAGGGGGTTTGAGGGCAGCAGTTGGAGGACGGGTGGTTCAGTCGGTCTGGTTGATGTTGGTAGATCTCCCCTTCGCTAACTAAATGCCAGCAATCGCCCCCCATCGGCGCGCCCCGAAAGCCCCCCCCCCCCCCTCCCTCCATGGTCATTTTCAAAGCCTTTCGCAGAGTTCATAGGGGGTGCGGTTTGCGCAGGACGGTCGAGAATTGGTTTCCCAATGGTCTGAGAACGGCTCTGCTGAGAAGGAGGGGCATAGAAACAGGAGGATGAGGAGGATGAGGGATGAGGGCGCCCTCGTCGTCGTCCTCGTCGTCGTCGTCGTCGTCGTCGCCGTCGCCGCGCCAGCCCCCTCGCGCAGGCTTGGGAGGCGACTGAGAGGTACGTCACCAAGAGCCGCCCACACATCATCATACTCGAAAACCTGACGAAGTTGATGACAGAGATGGTCCCGGGCCAGAAATCGGACGCCGATCACATCGTCGGCGTCCTGACAGGGTTGGGCTACCACGCGCGCGCCTTGGCTCTGGAGGCTCGCGACTCCGGGAGCCCCGTCAGGCGCGCCCGCATGGTGCTCGTCGGCATCAAGATCGGACGCCGAAGGGTTTTCAACGTTTCAGGGCAGTCACTCGAGATAGATGGCCTTTCGGAGGATTCTACCTGTAAGGCCTCGCGGCCAGCGCCGCCGACCCTGGGGGCTTCGGCCCTCGATGGCGCAAGGGGGCGATGGGGGCGATTAGAAATTGCAAAGCGGCTGTGGAGCTAGGGGCATCACGCCACTCGGGACGCGTTGGCGTCGAACAAAAACCACGCCCCACACCTCTTGGGACAGTGGAAGTGGAGGAGGAGGCGGTGGACGTGGAGGAGGAGGAGACGGTGGAGGAGGTGGAGGAGGAGACGGTGGAGAGGTGGGCGGTGGAGGAGGAGGGGGCGGTGGAGGAGGAGACGGTGGATAGGCAGAGGTGGAAGTTGAGTCCCGCCCCTTGTGGAAGGAGAGTTCGCCAACAACCCCTTGGACATATTCTCGACGGTGGTGCCGTCCGTGAAGATCGGTCCTTTGCCTTTGTCCGCCTTTTTCGACATATGGGAGATCGAGCTCCTCACGGACGAGGGCATCCCGCCGAAGAGGAAGAAGTTGAAGGGCACGAGCGACTTCAACATTGACATCTTCAAGCAGGCGAAGTTGGATTACCCTCCAGTGCTGTCGTCGTACCCGGAGGCGTTCCAGGATTGCATGGCTCTCCTCGCCCCCCACGAGGTGGAGGTCGTTGCCTACGCAGAGGAGAAGGACGCTTACCCGCTTGTTAAGGGCACGTGGCAGTTCGTGGACGCGAACGTCAGCTTGTCGTGGCACATAGGCGAGAACTCGAACGGCAAAATCTTCAAGGACGAGCTGCCCACCCTCACCACGCATAGCGTGATCGTTGCCAGGGTGGAGGATCCAGACGGCCAGAAGTTGTGGAAGGTGATCAAGGGCACACACCTCTTGGGACTCATCGGCTATTTCTCCCCCAAGAAGGAATGGCCCCAGGCTTTGTGCTCGTTGCTTACAGGCAACGCCTTTTCAGGCTTCACCTTCGCGGCCGTGGGATTAGGACTGTTCGTCGCCTTGGGGGGTCGATAAGCACTCACCTGAGGCCCTGGCACGGGGAAGGGGGATAGGAGGACAAGAAGGGAGGTGGGGGGCCGTGACGAGGGCGTGCTAGAGCGAAGTGTTTTGCGTGATAATTCACAGAGCAGCCGCATGGAGGGGCCAGCCGGCTGGAGCCAGCCTAGTTCGCAGAATGCGATGTTCGGCCCACTGCCGAACGTTTGGGGCGCGTTCCTTCGTAGCAAGGCTGTCAGGGCGTTTGGCATATGATTAACATATGATTCGCGCCGTTCATCGAGTGAATGGTCGCCTCTGGTCTGTCAGGTTTTGGACCCAGTGTTGTCCTGGTTCTCAGAAAAGCTGCCGCGATGTCGTGCTTGACAACGTCGATCATGCAGCCCAGGCGTCGCGCGCATTCAACCTCCTCTCACAGGTTCGTGCTTCGAGCCCCCCCCCCCCCCCCCGCCCCAACAACAGTGATTCGTGGCGGCGCATGATCGCCCGCAAAAGTCATTACACCAACGATGGCGTTAAAACAAGCTCGTTGCCTAATTGCGCCACGTGACGTCGGGACCTGAAAACGAAGACACCCCTTCCGATGAAGAGATGGCGGCGACCATGGCGCCGACGTTGACGATGACGACGCCAACGACGACACACGATGATCGTGCAAGGGGAGCACCTCAAACGGTCGCTTCGTGCAGGCTGAAATGTCAACATTGCGTGGTCTGTTCTGGGGTGAGTTTGTGTGTGTCCTTGTTTCTTGGTTGTTGTTGTGTTTGTGTGTCTGTTCCCCTTCTGAGTGGTATTCGTCGCCATTGCTGTCGTCGTCGCCGTCGCCATGCTCGCAGTCGTCGTCGTCGTCGTCGTCGTCGTTGTCGCCACCGTGGCAGTCGCCGCCGCCGTCTGCATCATCGCAGGCGTAGTTCCGTCGTGGCCACGGCATCGTTGACGTCGTCGTCGGCGTCGTCGTCGTCGGCCAGGCGCCCAGGTCGCGCAGGGTCGCGCCTCGTTCGGCGTGAGTTCAGGATTGGTTCGGCCTGGGCTCGGATGAATTACCCTCGCATTTGAAACGTTTGAATGATTCAGTTTTGGGGAGTGGGGTGGCGGCGGCGTTGCACACCTGGCTCAGCTTCTTTGGGTGGAGGGCTCTCGGCAACCCCATTCGGGCCCCGCGTACCGAACATGGCGCTCGGCACGCAGGCCGCAGGCGATGCGCTTTCGTTCCCGTCTTAGCAGAGGCCTCCGTGATGATTGGATGAGGGCAAGGGGGGGGGCTCACCCGATCGCATTAAGGGGGAAGGGCCCCGGAGGGGCCTGGAGGGCTGCCCAGGGGCCTCGTGGAGCTGGGCGGGGTCAGCCGCCGAGGCTCATGTACGGGCGCGGCGACCCGGGCCGCGCTACTTTCGGCCCCTGGGGAGAGAAGAACGAGTCGAAGATGATTGCCAAGGTATTCAATATGAATCGCAACGAGATCGAAGTTTTGGCAGACGGGCGCGCGTGTCGATTGTGCTTTCGCAAGGACACGGAGCTCGATCACGTGCACGGTGCCCAGCCGCTCTGCTGGGGCTGCCTGCCTTGCGCCACGAACAAGCTGAATAAGGGCAACGTGTGCTTTTACTGCCTCAGGGTGTACGCAGGCCTCCTGGCATCAAACGCTAAAGGAGGGGGCCAGTGGACGCCCAAGTTCGCCCTGTCGGAGGAGGGGGAGGAGGAGGAGGGGGAGGGGGAGGAGGGGGGGGAGGGAGAGGAGGAGGAGGGGGAGGGGGGGGCGTGGGAGGAGGGGGAGGAGGAGGAGGAGGAGGGGGGAAGGTTGGGAGGAGATGAGGAGGGTGGTAACGCGGATGACGAGTCGGGGTGGACGTGGATGCCGGAGGATTACCAGGATAGCGAGCTCCGAGATGACTCCCTCTTCACCCCTATCCTCCACTGGGAGCATGTGTTCCGACGACGGCGTCAAAGTCGAAACAGTTGCATAGGCGCCCTCCAACATTAACATTGGAAAGAGGGGGGATGGCGCGTTGAGACGACGGCGACGACGCCGACGATGCCGACGTTCCCCCCCGCGCAGCCCTGTACGAGCAGAACGGGAAGTACAACTCCATTGCGAAGTTCCAGACAGAGCTTGGCACAGACCGTGAGTTGTGCGTGGCCTTCTACTCGCAGCGCCATGAGGCGGCGTTGCTATTCAACCAGCTCGGGCACAACCGCGACAGCGGGAGCAGGAGCAGCGGGAAGCTCGACTGGGACAAGGTCAAGACCCGGGCCCTCTCTTTCCGCGAGAAGACAGTGGAGACACGCCAGGCGCCCAACAGGATTATGTTGATTGATAACTACCGTCAAGAATTTGGAGACCCATTTACCAATGGGAAAAACCACGCTGTCTTTTTACATTGCGGCTGCGAATGCGTCCGGGTGCCAGGCCAATTGGAATGGTCGGAATCTAACGTGGACGTGCAGGGGGCCAGGTTGGAGGAGGAGCGGTTCTCGTCGGACAGGCAGTTGTTCTCCGGCGAGGTCGAGCGAGGTTTCGAGGCCATGGCAAGTGCTCTCGCAGAGTTCTTCCCAAGGGCTACTGGGGAAGCCATGCAATCCCAATTCGCGCCGCAGCGAGCGGCCTCCTTGGATGTCCCCACGCCATCGCTGCAAGGCTCTTCTTCTGGCAGCGGTGGGGCTACTGGCGCCCCCGACCATGACGATGAGGACTCGCGACCCAGTTTCTTCACGGGACTTGTCTTGGCCCGGAGAGCGCCTGAGGCTGCCGTGCAAGACGCATCTGGAAAGGCTAAAGCGAAGCCGAAGGCGAAGCCTAAGCCAACGCCCTCTGCAAGCCAGCAAAAGCGCCAGCGGCGCCCAGCGGCAATTGAAGATGGCGTTCCGGATCCAGCCCCCGACACTGGCACCGATCCCAAGAAGGGCAGAGGGCAGGGTCGCCCCAGACAGGACCGCAGGGCGGAAGTGCTCGAGGCGTTGATTGAGTACAAGGCGAGTTCGATGGACGAGAAGTACTTCAACAGACAGAACAACAACTTCAGACGCCGCCTGGAGAGGATCGGCTGCGATTTCGTCCAGGAGTTGATGCCCGCTGACGAAGCCGCCAAGCTGCCCGAGACCGCCTGCCTCTCGGTTGACAGCCCTGAGAACCAGTCGATCAAGAAGCAATTTCAAGAGGCAGTCCAGATCTCCAAGGCTTGGGTGAAGAAGCAGGCCTTCGACAGCGACTTCAAAAAAACGCTGGCCAACTCCCTGGTATTCTTGCGGACCCCGCCGGAGGCCAAGCCGCCCTTCCCGTCTTGGATGATGGTGAACTACCTCTCTTCGAACGTTGAGGCCGCCGAGGATGGCAAGGCGCTCTGGGGATACATGTCGACAGAGACTCTCATCGAGCTAGAGTTCACTTCGCAGAGCAGCCAGGAGAATACTATTCGTGACATGGTCAAGATGAAGGTTAGCTTGCTGTGCCAGGGCGACGCTTCCGGCCTGACTGAAAGGTTGCTTCAGATCGCCAAGGAATGCCCCGAAACGTGTTTCATCGACATCCGCAACGACATGCAGGCCCTTCAGTCCGTCCTTTCTATCTTCGGCGAGGCTGTCATGAGTAGTGAGGGCGTGGACGCCATTCAGCAGAACTACGATGGCATCATGAGTGGCAAGTTTTCGCTGAGCTCTTACCTGAGGGAGTGGCCAAAAGGCGACGAGCTCCTGAAGTCGGTGGCTAAATCACTTGAAGGGAAGAAGGCTGGGAACAGCATCGCGGGCAAAGTGCTCGAGAACATCGCGGTAATTACCGATGCTTTTGCAGTGTACGAGTGCGGTTGCAAGGAAGGCGCGACCATGGACGCCATGGAGCTTGTTCTCGCCGTTACGTATGCGACCATCGAGCTTTCGAGTACCATTGGATCTTTGCCCCAGGCTGCCACTGCCTATATGGAGACGGACTCTATGGGCGAGCGCGTGACCATGCTTCTCAAGTGCTTGGCGCAGACGTTTATGGATGGCCACGAGGATTGGCTGAGAAGGTTTCAAATCCAGCGGAACTCCATCGGCCTTCTTTTCCCATCCTTGCGATCTGGTAAGGGGCGAGGGTGGAGGGGGGCGCTCAGGCCAGCGAGGAGTCGCAAGGATGGGAAGGGCGGGCATGGGATAGCGCTGCATTTGACACCGAGGAACTGATCGTGTCATTCAACGAGGCTCTGGAGAAGCATATTCAGGAGAAGCTGTGGGTTTTTCCCATATCTTCTTACTTTTTGTCTTCTTTGTGCTCGTCTGTTTCTTTTGTATTTGTTTTTCCCTTTTTGTGTGTACTTTTTTCGGCCCTTGCCCTGTGTTTCTGTTTTTCTTTGTATCAGTGTGTCCTTGACTTGTGGGATCCCTGGTTTAATTGTGCCTAATCTTCTTCTTTTTCTCACCCGTTTTTTTTTTTTTTTTTTTTTTTTTTTTTTGTGGGATAAGGAAGTTGTTCTATCAATGGAGCGCCAGTTGCATGATTTGACCAGGGCAATTCTTGCCCTCCCAGAGCGCTGCGAGCTTTTGAGGCGGTACTCTGACAAGGGAATCATGCAGCAGATGCTCGACTGGATCCCCAAGGTGCGCGAAGCCATGAACAATTTGTGCCTCGTCGACCAGGATGCAACAGGCAAGTACTGCTACGCGAGGGCAGTGGTCAAGTTCCTGCGCGAATCCAGTTCCCTTTTCCAAGAGGGCACGGCCATGGGTGACGCGGTCAGTTCGTTCGGCTTGGGCGAGATGATGCCGCGTTTTTTCGACACGTTTGAATCGCACGAGCTTTTCAAGAAGAGCATCACGCTTGCCAAAGATGCGTTGGTGAAGGACCTGGGCGCTTTCAAAGATTTCTTGCGTGATTTCGTTTTCGCCAACTTCCCAGCGGACGGCTTCATGCAGGAGTCGCAGTGGGCCGACGCCGTCTGCCGCGCGGACTGGGGCCCGAAGTCGGTTGGCCTCCTCGTCCCCAAGCCCAAGGTCGGAGAAGGTGTGGAGTTGAGTATTCAGGCAGCTCAATTGTTGGATTCCGCTCTCGCTGGGTGCAGGGTGGTCGATGACCCGTTATTGTGGTTGCAGGCGTGTTGCGTCGCCAAGTCCCTCGCCACGTGGAGGTGCGTTCTACCGTTCATCTTCAAGAAGGGGGCCTTTTTTTTTTGGTTCTTTACCTTGCCCCCCGAAGTCAAAAAGGGAGTGATGCACCCATTAGCCGAGGGACGTAGGAGAAAGCACGAAAGAGGCACTAAAAGCCTAGCTTGCAGACACCTAAGAGAGGCGGCCTTCTTTTCTGTGTTTTTTGTGCTGGGGGAGGCTGTTCAAGTTGTTCCTGGAGGAGGACCTCGCGGACCGGCACGTCAAGAGTGGAGGCGAAGAGCCGACCGAGAAACAGGATCGGCGGACACAAAGGGGAAGGGGGATGAAGGGGGGGGGAGGGGTTGGGGGAAGGGTGGGGGGGGGGGGAGGGGGGAGGGCGGGGTGGAGGGAAGCATGGAGCAATGAGCAGGAGGGAGGGGGAGGGGGAGGGGGTGGATGGGGTTGTGGAGGAGGGGGCGGAGGGGTTGCGGAGGAGGGAGGCTGAGGTTGAGGGAGCACGCGCGCCCGCGCGTGCTCGGGGGAGGGGTGGCGGGGGGGGTGGTGCAGGGCGGAGTAAGGTGGCGGTGGTTGCGGTGGGGGTGGTGGGGGCGGTGGGGCCCGCCGATGCATCGCCGATGCATCGCCGGGTGCGAGGGTGAGGGAGGAGGGGCGGTGGTGGGGGGGGGGGCGGTCTTGGGGCCCCCTCGCCCCCAGGACGTTCGCGAGCCTGCTTTCGGCGTGTTCTTGAGCAAGGCTCTCTCCTCCGAGGGCGCGGTGGAGCACTGCCCCGCTCTGGGCGACTTCCCGCACGCCCAGTTGCTTGCCAAGTCGGTTTTCTGGCTGGACACCACTTTGGTCGCCGAGGTCTCCTTGATCAAGAAAACGTTGCAAGACCTCGCGCGGCAGTGCCTTGAGGGGATCCCTGACTACAAGGGTTCCATGGACAAGTTGATGGACTCGCCCGCCCCGCCCGTGGTCAAGCTCATCCTCGCCAATCCCCACTACAAGGACCTTGGCACGGCGCTGTCGTTGTCGTTGCCGTCTTGGCTGTCGGTGCGCCGCGGTGCTCAGGCCTCCCGGCCAGCGCCCCTGTCCCCATGGGCCCGTGGGCCCCTCTGTCCTCGAGGGCGGCCCGATGGATGATGAGGGCGACGACAAAGTTCGCGGCGCCAGGGGATGGAGGGGGATGAGGGCGAGGAGGAGGTGGAGGAGGAGGGGGGGAAGAGAGGAGGAGGAGGAGGAGGAGGTGGAAGAGGAGGGGAAGGGAGAGAAAGAGGAGGAGGAAGAGGAAAGAGAGAGAAGGGAGGAGGAGGAGGAAGAGGAGGAGGAGGAGGAGGAGGAGGAGGAAGAGGATGGGGAGGACGAGAAGGACGAGGAGGAAGAGGAGGGGGAGGAGGGGGAGGAGGAGGAGGAGGGGGAGAGTAGAGGAGGAGGGGGAGGAAGAGGAAGATGAAGAGGAGGGGGAGGAGCAGGAGGAGGAGGACGAGGATTCCAGGATTTCACAGGCCAGCGGTGCTCTCAATGCGTACCTGCAGGTCGTGAAGACTTCGCCGTTCTTCAAGAGCAGCGACTTCATGAAGAAGATCACGGGCGCGGCGGTGGATGCTAGCGTGGCCGTTGGGGTCACTTTCGCGCAGTTCAACCTGAGCTACGTGATGCCGAAGCTCACTGGCCAGAAGAAGAAAGCCCAGGCGCAGGCGACCATCGAGGACTTGCAAGCCAAAGGCTAGTGGTCCAGCATCCCGAAGTGCCAGTCCCAGGCGCTGGAGGCGGCGGCAGCCTAGAGCAGCCATGCAGTTGGCTTGACTGGCCCCATCGGGCCGCGTGCGAGCCCTGCCCGCCTCTCCCCCGCCCCGGGCCCTCGACCTCCCGCCCCTTCTTTGGGCGCGGTTCACGCGTGGCTACGTTTTTTCTGTCGCGGGGTCGATTTTCTCCAGTTGTCTGTGGAAGTCCCACCTTTGCGAAGGCGGGCAGCATTGGGAGACGGCGGAGGAGTGACAGGAGAAGGAGATGGGGAGACCAGCATGAGGCGGAGGAACAAGATGGATAGGAGAATGGAGTTGGGGGCTGGCGGTAGCACGAGGATGGGATGATGGTGGAGAGGGGGTGATCTTTGCGCTCGAAGCGGACGTAGGTAGTGCTTTGGTATGTTCGGCACTGCGCGGCAGTGCGGTCAGCGCTTGGCGGCTTGCCTTGCTTTCGCCCGTTCCTCGATGCCCCCCCTCCCCCACATCGGGTCGCCTCCCGCCTTGCGCGGGCACGGTATTCGACGTTTCTGCTTTCTGTTGTTAGACCTCGTTCCGGAGCCTGCGGGCTTGAGAGATCGTGGCGCAGACGAGCCCTCCCGTCTCCCATCTCTGGCCCGTCTTCGTCTCATCAGGGCCATCATCATCGTATGGGCGGGATTCGCTTTGCGCCTGGCACCTTTGACAACCCCTGGGCCACGCCACTCGGGCCCAGGGCCGAAATGGGGTCGAGGGGCGCGCACTCGCCATATTCGCTCTCTCATTCGCCCCTCTCGTCTTCAGCCGCGCCATTGTCATGCCTCGTGGTTCCTCCCATTCTCGTCATCATCATCCTGCGTCCTCGTCACCGTCGCCGGGGCCATGTGCGCCAGATTGGCTCTGTATTCGTCGAGCGCCGCGTCTGGTAACAGATGGGCCCCCCCCTCCTCCTGCTATTGCTCCTCATCCTCATCCTTCTTTCCCCCTCCTCCTCCTCCCCCTTCCTCCTCCCTCTCCCTCCCCTTCTCCCTCTCCTCCTCCTCATTGTCCTCCTCTGGGCCGTTTCGGATGGGGCGTGGCTGTGCATGCGCATGTCCCCGCTCAGACGTGCTTAGCGCAAGTGCGTCTAATGTTTGGAATATTTGGTATACCCATTCTTTTTTGGCGATGTTTTTTTTTTTTTTTTTTTTTTTTTTTTTTTTTTTTTTTTTTTTTTTTTTTTTTTTTTTTTTTTTTTTGTTTTTTTTTTTGTGGCTTTTTTGGTAATTTCTAGTTCGGGCAGCCTCGGTGAGATTCCGAGCAGCTCAACGCATTTTTCGCGCCCATCTACAGGCCTGCCCCTCTACAGGGGGAATATTCGGAAATCGATGAAATCGTCGGGGGATTATTGTTTGCCACTTTGGAGCATTTGTAGATTTATTTTTATGTTTTGCCCCGTATCCTCATGTAGGGGGACACGCGCGACTGAATGGCGCCGGCAAGGGCCCAGCTCTCAAGATGGAGGAGACGATTCTCACAGGCGCCAGCGCGGGATTCAAGCCTTGGTTCCAGCAGCAGAGAACGGCGCAGGATGGCCGCTTCGAGACGCCGCATGCGATGCTCGAGGCTCACGCGGCGGCCGCCGCCAATCTTGCCCGCCCTCGCCCTGCTGTTCCTGAGGGCGATGGCGCGGACCTCGACGACGACGATGAATTCGACAAGCTCGGCAAGGCCACCGCCGAGGGCAGCGATGCCTGCGGGGCAGCGGCAGGCGAAGGTGCAGGCCCGCAGCAAGCTGAAATGTTTGGTGCTTCCAAGAGGAACCTTGCCGAGCAGCTTGCGATCATGGCCTGGGAAGGGAAGCGGGGGTAGTGAGGAGCTCGACATCTGCCTCCTGAGCAGCGCGCCTGCTCCTTGCATCCTGCGCGTAGCGCTGCGCCAACAGGTTCGTGCGTCGTGGCCGTCGGCGCTGATGGCGACGCGCAAGATTGGTCGGTGCCGCCGCCGCCGCGACAGCAGCGCAGTCGACCTTTCTGAGCGAACAGTATTGTTGATTTGGAGTGGCCTGCGCTCGACTTCTCGGTGCCAGCGGCCAGGTCCGAGCTCACTTTTCAGGACTCCGGGCTCGATCCGATGGCATCGCCTCGCGCGAGTAGGACGCCCTCTTCGGGCGCCGCGTTAGCTGTGAGTTCTACCGGGCCGTGCAGACGACCAGCGCGATCTTCGTCAGAGGGGATCGGGGGCGCCCCTGACGTTGTCGCCTTGGCGTGCGCAAGCAGCGTGACGGGCGAGCCCCCCTCGCCCCCGCACTGCGCGGGATCGGGTGGCCGAAATACTAAAGGTCAGGATCGAAAGGCGCGCGATCGGCGTGCTCTCTCACAACTTCGCGCAGCTGATACCCGGGGGCCTCACGGAGGGCGCAGGCTCCGTGACGGCGACGACGTGCCTTGTGAGCGCGTTGCTGTACAGTTGCAGCCCCTCCCTGCAGTTTCCGCCGCGTCGTCGGGCACGGGGCCTCCAGCTCCCGCCAGGACTAGGGCGGTGAGAGCCAGAATCATACGTTGGGGCTTCCTTCCGTGCAGTTCCAACTGTTCGAGCTCCTGGGGAACTGCGGTGGCGTGGCGGTTGGACAAGGGCCTCGCCGGGCCTGGGCCGCAGTTCTTTCGCGGGGCAGGAGGCGAGGTTATTCGACTCAGGGATCACCTCTGAGCATGTTCGAGCCATCGGGGCCAAAGGCATTGCGGCTGATTTTTGCCCCGCGCTTCCCGCGGGGGACAGCGCGCCGGCAAACTCTGCTGGGGTGCTCGCTGGAGGTCTTCGCTACATCGACCAACGCGCTCGCCCCCCAAGCCTTCGCGCGGGGCCCCGAGGTGTCGGGCAAGATCCTCACTGGGCGCGCGCGCGGTGGTGCTCGGGGGCCCCCCGCGGACCTCCGTCGACCTCCACCGCTCGGCGGGCGCGCGCGGCCACAGTGCTGAGTTTCCGGCCTCCCGGGGGCGCCGCCTGGAGGGCGCCGCGGCGCCGTGGACCATCGGGCGCGATGCCGACATGGACCCGGAGAGCGAGGGCCTCGGGGGCTGGTGCTCCAGCAATGGGGCGGCGGTGGTCTATTCGATCGTGTCCGCGTGCGCCTCGGGTTTGGGTGCCGATCTGATTTCTTCATCTCGTCTGAAGGCCTCCTGTCCTGCGTGTGCGAGATCAGCGCGATGCATGGCGCGCCCGCTCCGCCCCGCTCCCCTGTCGAGCTTTAGCCGATGGGGGCGTCGTTGAGCACCCCTATTCACGTCGGGTGCGTCTGGAAGAAGTTCCCCGCTAAGATGCCCGCTGGATGCCCGCGT